AAATACACTAGAAATGAATCACAATATATATATATGTATATGAGTAGTTGTAATGAGGTGCGCTATAGAGAGCACAAAGTGCATAAATATGGGGAAGTACACTTTCTATACATATATATATATATATTAAAATAAAAGGATATAAATAATAAAAATATAATAGATACATAAAGATCTGATAAAGTCATATGAAGTTGAAAGTTATGAGTAGTTGTAGTTGAGAGCCTCAGGTGTGCAAGATGAAATAAAATGGATTTCCAAATCTTAGGAAGGAATCGGATATAAAAAAGATCATTAACTAAATAGTCAGAATTTTTTAAAACATAAAATGATTCCCAGAGATCCAAGTCAATGGCTGAAGAGCAGTGTTGAATGATTTTATTTGAAGAAAACTGAAACCTTATGATTAGTATTCTATCTATATAGGGTGATGGAAGATCGTTTAATATCCAGTGTTTGAACGTATTTTTAATATTCCTTAATTCGAATTTTAAAGGTGCGTTCAGTTTGTCTTTTATAAGCAACATCATAACGAATGGAAATTTGGATACTGCCTCAGCTGTTATTATCAGTAATATGATTTTAAAGACTGAAGAATTAAGTTGTTTTCACAGTAGAGAAAACTACTTTAAACTCAAAGTTTCTCAATTGGTTATCAATTTGAAGATACTAAGATAAGAGTTTATCTGATAACGATGAGATAAAGACTTTCATAGGAGGAAATATCGATAAGATAACAAGATAAATAAATACTATGATAAAATAATAGGATAATTAAAGGCTTTAATAAGATAATAAGATAAATGATTCTCTGATTATAATAAGATAAAGACTATGATAAGATAAAACTTTCTCCAAACTTTGTCTAGAAGGTCATCCAAGTCCCCTGTATATTTTTATAACAGATATTTGGGTTGAATATCTAATGAATAAGATAAAAAAGCACTCTGGCGTAATAAAAAAAATTTCGAGTTAAGGGACATTTAGAATTATAAAATCATAGATATAATCATTAATATTGCAAATAAAATCCAAACTCAACAGCGATAACCTCAAGCAAAGGCTCTAATTTTAATGTGAGATCATTTTTTATTCCTTGTGCACTTGTTTTTTATTCCCTGTCTCTTACAAAAAGTTTGAGTCAAGATATTTTACTTCTTGTTTACAAACTATTTTCCATTCAAAAATTTGTTTAGTTTGGGAAATAAATGAAAATCTCTTTACAGATCAAAAGTTAAAACGAAAAGAAGTTGCTCTGACTAGACACCTAAAGATGCATCTTTCCTGAAACGAAAGACATTTTTGGTAGAAAAAAAGGTTACAAATGATGACGATCCCATAAAAGATTAGTTATCCTAGTTTAAGACTTTTAATGACAGAAGAATAAAACTTTGGGAATGAAAAATTATTCCCACTTTACTATAAAAACTTTGACAGCTATTAGCTGACTGTTAGTGACTGATATATATATAATCATATAGTGACTCTGATATAAATAATATCATTCAATTATTTATATTCTTAAAAATAGCATAACTATAACTCGATGGGATGATCATCATGAATTTTACTATAATGCACGAAATGCTTAATTATTTTACAAATTGAATTCACCCAATTTCAACCAATGAAATTGCGTCAAATAGTTTTTAGTGACACAACCTTCCAGCAAACGCGCTTATGTGAGAAATACATCAGGAATGAATTACGTTTTGCAATTTTAATCCTGAAGCCTTTCCTAAATATAAAATTTTAAAATTAGTTGTCATTAATAACTTTTAGTAAATTACATTATCATACTATTATTTATATTCTTAAAAATATATCCCAGAAAAAAGCAAAACTATATCTCGTTGACATGATCATCATGAAATTTACAGTAATGCACGAAATGCTTAATTATTTAATAAACTTAATTCACCCAATAAAATTGCGTCAAATAGTTTTTAGCAACTTAACTTTGCAGCAAATGCCCTTGTGGGGAGAAATACACTAGAAATGAATCACATTCTGTATTTTTAATTCTGACCTGATGCGTTTCTTAAATTTATTTTTAAATTAATCGTAATTACTAAATCTTAGTAAATTACAATATCATACTATTATTTATATTTTTAAAAATGTATGTTTAAAAATAGCATAACTGTTACTAATTGGGATTAGAAGCGTGACAATCGGAAAATTAATCAATATATATATATATATATATATATATATATATATATATATATATATATATATATATATATATATATATATATATATATATATATATATATATATATATATATATATATATATATATATATATATATATATATATATATATATATATATATATATATATATATATATATATATATATATATATATATATATATATATATATATATATATATATATATATATATATATATATATATATATATATATATATATATATATATATATATATATATATATATATATATATATATATATATATATATATATATATATATATATATATATATATATATATATATATATATATATATATATATATATATATATATATATATATATATATATATATATATATATATATATATATATATATATATATATATATATATATATATATATATATATATATATATATATATATATATATATATATATATATATATATATATATATATATATATATATATATATATATATATATATATATATATATATATATATATATATATATATATATATATATATATATATATATATATATATATATATATATATATATATATATATATATATATATATATATATATATATATATATATATATATATATATATATATATATATATATATATATATATATATATATATATATATATATATATATATATATATATATATATATATATATATATATATATATATATATATATATATATATATATATATATATATATATATATATATATATATATATATATATATATATATATATATATATATATATATATATATATATATATATATATATATATATATATATATATATATATATATATATATATATATATATATATATATATATATATATATATATATATATATATATATATATATATATATATATATATATATATATATATATATATATATATATATATATATATATATATATATATATATATATATATATATATATATATATATATATATATATATATATATATATATATATATATATATATATATATATATATATATATATATATATATATATATATATATATATATATATATATATATATATATATATATATATATATATATATATATATATATATATATATATATATATATATATATATATATATATATATATATATATATATATATATATATATATATATATATATATATATATATATATATATATATATATATATATATATATATATATATATATATATATATATATATATATATATATATATATATATATATATATATATATATATATATATATATATATATATATATATATATATATATATATATATATATATATATATATATATATATATATATATATATATATATATATATATATATATATATATATATATATATATATATATATATATATATATATATATATATATATATATATATATATATATATATATATATATATATATATATATATATATATATATATATATATATATATATATATATATATATATATATATATATATATATATATATATATATATATATATATATATATATATATATATATATATATATATATATATATATATATATATATATATATATATATATATATATATATATATATATATATATATATATATATATATATATATATATATATATATATATATATATATATATATATATATATATATATATATATATATATATATATATATATATATATATATATATATATATATATATATATATATATATATATATATATATATATATATATATATATATATATATATATATATATATATATATATATATATATATATATATATATATATATATATATATATATATATATATATATATATATATATATATATATATATNATTTTTACAAAGAGAAAGATGCAAAGATATATATATATATATATATATATATATATATATATCAATTAATTCTGTATAGTCTTAAGAATATTAAAAAGCAAAAGCACTCCTTTCATAAATTCTTATAGCTGCTACCATTCGGAACAGAAAACGAAATGATAAGACGAACGAAACTGACAGATTTTGTAAAAGAACACAATATTTGTCTAACGTAGAAAAAAGAGAAGAGTCCTTGAAGTTTGAATTTAAAACGCAGATTTCAATAAAATGAAAATAAAAATTACATTTTATGATAGCACAATGGAAAGCCTTCCCGTGACAGTAACTAATGATGTGACAGCTATTCTCCAATATTATATTTTCTGTAACAAGACAGTAAGAACGGCAGGTGGTAAGAGACTATATTTACTAAAATCACAATCACATCCACACGAGCTCGCTCATCTACTTCGAGACTAACGTTTCTGTCAGGTAAGCAAGCGATTCTTTCCTTTTCCTCCCTTAAGATGCATATTAACCAAACGGTTATTACTTTGGCTATTTCTAAAAGAGATGCCGAATCAGATGCAGAGTATGAGAAAGCAATGCAAGAAATAGATGATCGGAAATCTACGTGTAAAGGTTTAGAGTACGCTGGCCATGTCACGGGTCTCGTAACGGACCTAATAGGCGATATCCCCGAAATTCCTCTAGTCACTGATGTCCTAAAAATAGCAACTTCCGGCATAGCCGCGGTCGCTCACGTTGCCGAATTCGGAATGAACATAGCTGCGACAGCCTTGGAGTGTGATGACGTGAATTTCGATGAAATTAAATTGATCATGGAGAAAAGATTTAATGAAGTTGATAGGAAACTCGACAAGCTAACTCAGGCAATGGAAAAAGTTACCGAAATCGTAACTAAAACTTTAGATGCTGTTGAAAAAACTCGAACAGAAATGAATTGGGGATTTAAACAGGTACTGGCCACCTTAAAAAATATGGAAATACAGTCAATTCTCAGTAGAATCAATAAGTTTTCTCGATATTTCGAAAGAAAGAGCAACGAATTAAGCAAACTCCCCGCGGATGAGTTCGTTTTTCAACTAAAAGAAGAAAATGGAATTCTAGATTATTTAAATAAAGCCCAAATGCCAGAAGGTTTGCATTCTGATTTGTTTGAACTCATGGATAAAAGTACTAAATTTTCGATTCCTGAAAACACTGAGGATACCAAAGCTTTCCAAGCTCTATACGCTCTATTTTATGGGACACAAACATATGCATCTGTAATGTTCTTCCTCTTGAAGCAACATTCTTATCTAGCTGATTATTATTATCAAAGTGGCGAAGACGTAAACTTCAATGAGCAATTCGATCATTTAAAGAAAGTCTTTCATGGTTTTAAGACAGCACTCACTGGAAGCAATGGTTTAATTAATGAAGTGATAAAAACATTGGAAGACGTCAAAGAACTAGAGTTCATCAAAAATGTTAAAAATGATTTATATGCAGACATTTGTATGAGAGAAGATTCATTAAAAGATGTCAAAACTGTGATCACAGAAATGGAAATAGATGTCATTGTTGATGTTCCGCAACACATCGATAACATCAACTTTAAAGAACCTATTGTTGTTTCTAACTATGGAGATTGGGATGATAAATCTAAGGTAAGGTACGCAGTGCAACTGAGGGAAAATGGAACGTACTCTAAATTTAGTGAATGGACGGAACCATTAAAAATAGAAGGTAAAGCAAACCCAGTTCTCCAAGTGCCCAGAGATGAAAATAGAAGAGAGAGGCTCGTTTTTCGAAAATTCAATGAAGAGAAACCACAATTAGTTGGCATTTTGACAAAATCTCAGGTGGAGTTTCGAGATATTAATCGAGATCTTTACAATGCTGCAAGAAGTAAGGACCAGAATAGGACATTAGAGTATATTCCTACACTTCTGGAGGCCGGAGCTAACGTCCATGCTACTTTTGAAATGAGAAGAACTGTCATGCACGCTGCAGCTGAAAGTGGAAATGTTAAAATTGCTTTGAGATACCTTTTAGAAGAAGTACCTGTAGACTCCCGAGATGAAAAGGGATTTACACCGATGCATATAGCTGTCGATACTAAAAATGCCGGTTTTGTGAACTTCTTAATCACCCATAATGCAAACGTAAATGCCCAGACTAATTTAAATAAATTAACACCATTGCACTTGGCAGCTAAGAAAGGATATTCTAATGTGATTAAAAATTTACTTGCTAGCAATGAAATTAAAATCAATCAAAGAGAAAAATCAGGGTACACACCTTTGCATTATGCTGTTCGTGGTACTGTAAAAGCAATCAAAGCATTGCTTTCTAAGAAACACATTTTAGTAAATGCTAAGTCAGACTTTGGTCTGACTCCTTTTCACTTGGCTGTTATGAAAGGTGATCGAGAAATATGTGATGCTTTACTAAGCAGTGGTAAAGTAGAAGTCAATGCTGGAAATAAAAATAACATGACGCCACTTCATTTTGCAGCCATGGCGGGAAATGTAGACATGATTCAGTACCTTCTCTCAGGAAAAAAGGAAGTTGAAGATGTAAATATTAATGCTGTAACATCTGACAATAATTGGACACCGCTTGAGATGGCTATTTATTTTGAGAAAACAGATGCCGCTCTTGAATTACTTAAGAACCCCAAAGTTGATACCAGTATAAATTCCAAAGAATATATCACACCATTGCATCTTTCAGTTGCCACTGGACAAGCACCCATTTTTGATGAATTATTAAAAAAAGAATCGAGGAGAAAACGAAGCATGGAGCCTGAAATCGAAGCAAAAACAAAAGAGGGTTACACTGCCCCCTTCATCTGGCTGCCTTACGAGATGATACAAGTTATTCTAAGGAATTGCTTAGTAAAGGAGCAAATAAAAATGCAACATCCAATGATGCTTCCACTCCTTTGCACTTAGCTGCAAAATCAGATAAGCACTCCGAAATTATGTTTTTATTACAAAATGGAGCAAACATGAGATTGTATAATAACGATAACTATTTGGCTATTCACTACGCTATAAAAAACGTTAACTCAGAAGCTGTAAGAGAGTTTAGAAGACAAGAAAAAAGTATCATACAAAGCTCAAATGATGATGGTCTGTCAGTTATGAGCTATGCTATGGATTTTATAAAGCTCAGCTTTTATCATTATTACAGATACAGAGATTTGGCTGAGTATCGAAAATATAAAGATTTACAACCTAAACAAGTATTTGAAAAACTAGGTTACTATGACTTAATAAGAGCATTGCTTGATGACAATCCAGAAGAGCATGACTTGAAATGCTCTATCCTGTTTGCTAATGCTTTTGCACTTTTATGCATCAAAAATGAATTAAAATCTGAAAAACCGCCGTGTCCCAACATGACACTAGAAGCGCTTTCTCCTCAAAATTTGCGTAACAATTTTAAAAGGCAAATCGAAACTGCGGATTATTTTTTGGAAAACCCACATGGCGACAGTTACTCTTTTTCACATGCTAAGAGCTCCCCTACTCAACATATTGATCTAAACGGCTCTTTACTGTTGCTGGATCTTCTATTTAGGAAAATGACCAATGAGAAGTTAAGATCTAATAATGTCAACCAATCATCTCACTCAATAGATCCACGAGCCTTAGCACTGGAAATAACAGATAGTTTCAGCAAATACATCAATGCTGTGAGCGTCGGCAGTGCGGATGAAGTGATAGACTTTGCAAAATTACACTCAGATTTATTCAAAGCTATTAAAGTTGGAAAATATAACAAGATTGGCAATATTCTAAGATCGCATGCAAAGGGTTTAGTAGATCCTACTGATGAAGATTTTTACTTGTCCGTGATACTTCCGAGCGATTTCAATGAAGCTGAGCAATCTAAAAAAGAATATTTTAAATCATTTGCCGAATCATGTGGTGTAGGACCCATTAATTTTAATTTGTTCCCCTGATATTGTATTGGAAGGGTTAGAATATGATTTACTTTAAATCTAATTTACTTTCCATTTCACCGTGATTTTCTTTTTTCAAAAAAAATTAATAATAACACTGGGGAACAAATTTTTTAATTTCTGTTGTATGATATTCCTTAATTAATCAAGTATTTGCATAAATGCAACAGAAATTTGTTCCCAGTGTAATCGATTCTGCTGCACGTTAGTGATTTCACACACGGGAGGCATTTTAAGGTTTACTGGTGATGGTAAAGTTTTATACTATTTGTCAAATTTTCACGTTTGCACTCACATTCAAATACAACTGAGCAGTGAACTCTGTAGGACATTGTAAAATTTTAACTTTTCACTGACCATAGCTAAAATACTAAAGAAAAACAATTAACCAATTAAAATATGCATTGTAATTGGTCCTGAGGTTACTATTGTAGAAATATATTGTATTGTAAAAATATTTTTTTAAAGTATAAGAACAATTCCAGCAAAATTGCAAAAATTAGCATTTGTAAACAGTTCTTATGTAAATACTTTTTTTTCCAATGCTCACCTGGAGAAAGACCTTCTTCACACAGTCATCTGAAGGGCATATTTGTTGGCCACTGTTTCAGGGGCACCATATTAGTTGAATCACCGTTGCTCCCACAGTAAGGACAAGATAGCACAGAGAAGAAAGGAACATCCATGCCTTGCCCGGGATTCGAAACCAGAAACTTTCTGATGTAAGATCCTACACAAGTTCTTCTGACTCTACACAAGCAGATTTATTTACTTTCTGTAAATACTAAAAGTTTAAATTCATAGGCTACTTTGAAGCATCAACTTGCATCAATTATTATTATTATGCAAATAGGGTTATTTTTGGTACATCGCTTCAATCTACCAAGCTACTCAACTCCTTCACTTTTAATCTTCAAAATTTACCTAATGCTCATCATAAGTGTGAATTAGAATAAAGTATCGGGTGGATCCTAGAATAGTTCACCCCGTGTAGTCCACCCACCATTTTTTTTTTAAATCTCGACAAGCAAGTTTTTGAAATCTCACCAAATTAGATTACAGAAAGATATTTCGGAGAGATTATTTTGAACGTTCGATCACACCACCGAAATTCTTAAACCTAATTGGTTATTTGATATGTATACCTACGCGAAAGTTGGATTTCGTTAGAAAAAAAGTAAAAGGGTTTATTTTTTTTGCCATTTAGGCTTTCGATCTCTTGCTGTTAGAATCATCGCTATTATTTAAATTATCGTTATTATTATTAAATAATCGTTATTATTAAATTACCGTTATTATTATTAAATCGTCGTAATAATTTAAATTGTTCTTTTTTAATAATCAAGAAGCAACGTTTATATAACGTTGAATAATTGCCAACTTGGCGAGATTTCAAAAAGTCGCCAACAGGTGGGAAGTTCTAGGATTTTACCGAAAGAATCTAATGGAGGTATTGACATGCAAGTTCGCGTATTTCTGTCGCATAACCTATAAAAAGTACAGTATTTTTCTTCGAAGTTTCTTAACCTTACAGTATTTTTACATGTAACGTAACATTGTTAAAAAATCAGGAGAATTTAGGTTTGCATCAACTACTTTTTGTTTAGAATTTTTTTCAAATTTATCTGCAAAATTTAATGTTTTCGTAAAAAAACCAATGTGTAAATTACCTATTGCAATGCGTATTCTTTTGAGCAATTTCATTTACACTTATAGTAAAAGATAAAAAAAAGTATTATGTAAATAAAAGTATTATGTTGGCATAAGTATTGTAATGAAAAAATTATCACGTTCAGATTATGGAAAAAATAGTATTATGTTGCTTATAAAATATTGTAAATCTTATTCATGCCATGCTTTCGAAACGTCATAGTTTTTAAAACTTTCTGGTTGGAAACTATTTGTTACAACTATAGACAAATGACCTTGGATAAATGCTGAAATTATTTTTAAAATTCTAAACTAATTAAAAGTAAATTATAAAAAAAATTTATCTTTAATTTCCAAACATTTTACTGAAGTTAAGAATTATGATTAATTTATTGTATTTTTAATAAAAGAGCATCTAAATAATGGGAATATAAAAATAGTATTTTTGTAACAACTGTTTCACCATTTATTTTCATAAAGAATTTTCAAGCATAATAAAACCGTATAATAAAGCTATTGACATAATTCATTATTTTCACATTCTAAATTATTTATGTAACAGCATTCTATTAAACATTAATAATTTTTAAGCATCTAATATCAACGCAATCAGATTTATAAACATAAATGTTTTTTCATGCTATCTATGAAAGATCAAAATAGTTTCTTATCTATAAAAGAATAAAATTTATTGTCTAAATTCTAATGATCCTATTATAACTTATAAAATGTATACAATATATCAATAATATATTTTAATAATTATTTAGGATGATTGAAATAAAGTTTGCCTCAACTTCAAATATAATTATTGATTTTATATTTCCATATTTTGGTTTATTATTATCATTAATAAATACGTATATTGTAGTATGCAATTGCATTATATCTTTTATTATATATGTATGAAACATCAGTAAATATTTAATTGTTAAATTTATTATATAAAACAAGAACTGTACTGTTGCATAACTGTACTATTCATAATTGTACTATTCCAGAATATTAAACCATACAATTAAAAATATATATTTTGTACTTTATGTATGCAATTATTTCAAAGATAATTACTATTTATTTTCTATATTTATTTTCCATATTTATTTTCTATATTTAATATTTTCTCAGAACTTTAATTTGTGTTAAATATTTCAAATCTATGTAACTGATGAAAAGTGAAAAATTGAAATGTGAAAAATGAAAAATTGAAATGTGAAAAGTTGAAAATAAAATACTAAATTAAAGTAAAAAATATTTTATTGAACTTCATTTTTCATTAATTAAATCAAGAAATGTCTTTATTTTTAGTTTTTAAATTCATAAATTCATTTTGAAACTTAAATGTATGCCAATTTAGAGTTTTTCTGCAACGCTTTTTAATTTATAATTATTGTAACTGTTTAAAATAATTGAGGATTTTCAGTTTTTTATGTGAATATAATTAATCTAATTTATGATTATTCTCGAAGCAAATTTAATTTTAAAGATACGTTAACTTTATTAACTGAGTAACATTAATCAAATTACAGAAATTAGTTTTCAATTTTTATGTTAATTTTCAAATTTTCAATAATTTAGTCTTTTATTCTTTGGCTGTGAAATTAAATACAATAAAACAACTCAATTCATTTTAATTTAAAATAAAATTGGTTGTTTTTTTATTTTAACCCATACTAACACATATTATAGTGTTAAAACATATTTCACTGTACAGTGTGTCAAAAAAATACAGACCACAATAAATCACTTTTGATCTAATGATCGAATCTTTACGTCCTAGAACTCAATCTTAATGTTTCGAGTGAGTAACCTCAAATATGCTAATTAATTAGTGCAGACGATATTTTAAGTTACGGAATCAAACACAAAAACGTACTTTCTCTGAATAAACATACCTTTGGATTCGGGTTTCTGACTCCAAAAATAAAGGGAGTAATCGCAATCTGGGAAACATGATCCCCATAGTTTTTTTTTTTTCATGAGAGCGATGTTAAGTTTGGATCCATTAAAGTTAATTTTACTTTTGGCGTATTTTGTTGTATCTCGAGAACTTTTTTATTCGAATTGGAAAAAAATTTCATACATTTATAAAATTCGTTTGTCCAAAGATAATTCCATGCGAAAATAACTTTTAATAAATATTTATTATTTTATTTAATAATAGTCGAAAAATATACACTATATCATATTACACCATAGTGTAAAATATAAATTTTTACATCATTTTAAAGTATGTAATTTTACACATCAAAATGCAAAATCTGACTGATATAGGGTGAATAGTTCCTGAGAAATCAAATTTTAACTATACGACTTTTTTATTTATTAGGGAAC